ACACACACACACACACACACACACACGCTTCTGTATTTTTTTTGTTTGTCTTGGACTGTGTTCATTTTTGTTCGATAAAGAGAGAGTTGCTCGTGCTTCACGGTCAAATGTGGACCATATACGAGGGCTGCTTTGCTTTGACCTTGGTGATGTACATCTTCGCCATTGTGTACACGAGCAGGAAGAAATGGAGTGACGCGCAAACCCCGTTGCATTCGGTGGCGACCACAACGCCCTCCTTCAAGTCATTTCAGCGTCAGTTCCTGCTGGTCTACCTCCTCGCAATGGCCGCAGACTGGATGCAGGGCCCGTACATCTACCGCCTGTACACACACTACGGCTACGACCGGCACGAAAACGGCATTCTCTTTATCACTGGCTTCGGCTCTTCGCTGGTATTCGGCACGTGGGTGGGACCCCTGGCCGACACATGGGGGCGTAGGCGCGCGTGTGCGCTCTACAGCGTTGTGTACGCGCTCAGCTGCGCCACGAAGCATTTCAATCACTTCGGCGTCCTGGTGGCTGGACGCTTCTTGGGCGGCATCGCGACGTCGCTGCTGTGGTCGGTGTTTGAGAGCTGGATGGTCAGCGAGCACTACACCCGTGGCTTTGACCCGGCGTGGATCGGAGAGACGTTTTCGCTGATGAGCACCGGCAACGGTGTGGTGGCGGTGCTGTCGGGGGTCGTGGCGCAGTGCGCGGCGGACGCCTTCGGGCACCCCGTTGCGCCGTTTGACGTGAGCGCCATTCTGCTCTTTGCGTGTTTTGTGATTGTGCGTATGCGGTGGACGGAGAATTACGGTAGCGCCCGCACCCCTCTTTGGGAGCAGATGCGTGACGCCGCCGCAGCTGTGCGCCGTGACTCCCGCGTCGCCTTCACGGGCGCGCAGCAGGCCCTCTTTGAGAGTGGCATGTACGTCTTCGTATTTCTCTGGACACCGGCGCTCGAGGCGGACGGCGATGTGCCGCACGGCCTTGTCTTTGCGTGCTTCATGTTGGCGGCGAGCCTGTGCGGCATGCTCTTCGGCCTGCAAACAGACCGCGTGGTGGCGTGGATGCCGGCGGTGTACCTCTGCGCGGCGGCCACCATGCTGCTGCTCTGCGTCCCCGCAGCAGGGCTGAGCAAGATGGTCGCGCTCATATTATTTGAGATCATCGTTGGTTTCTTCTGGCCGTGCATCGCGACGCTTCGGGCGGTGTACGTCCCAGAGGAGTACCGCGCGTCGGTAATGAACATATTTAGGGCTCCGTTGAATTGTATTGTCTGCTGCATCTTGTACTTCCAGGGACAGATGCCGTTACAGAGGTTGTTTTTCCTTGCGGCTCTGCTGCATGTATCGGCGGCGGTGAGTGCATCGCTGCTTAAGGCCAGAGTGCGGCGGCACACATCAGCTGTCTGAGAGAAGAGAGAATGCCGTGAGAGAGGGGTGAGTGCTCCTTGCACACTTCTTGCACGATATCTGTTGTGTGCATGACTGCTAGATAGTGGGTAAGAAATTGCGAATGAAAACACACACGCACACACACATACATACTTGCCATCATGTTGAAGTGGAGGGCTGAATTTGCGTTTGCGCGGTGGCGTTATTTTTGACTGCATCTACAAGAGAGGAGAGTAAGAGAGAGGGCGAGAACGAGGTCGTGGTGGAGGGAGTGAGTTTCTGACTACTTGAAGTGAACCTTGTTTCCCTCTCTACCTCTTTGCGTGTAGCGTGGGCAGCGAAGGTGCAGACGTAGACGTGAAGAGAAGAGGCTCAAACTACCCCCACTCCCCCATACACATATACATATAAATATATATATATATAT